CAGCTCGATAGGATGGACATGATTCAGAAGATTCGTAGGCTAAAGATTACCTAAGGTCAGAATAAACATGTAAACCTTACAGTTCATTTTTATACAAGACAGCGACAACGATGTAGCTTAATCGAAGAGGAGTAGAATGGAGTAGAAAGTTCAATACGCAGCCAAAACATGTTGAATTATCGTCAGTCTTCGCCTCTTTCAGCTGGCTTCTAGGAACCTATATGTCGGCAGAATAAGCCATAATTTTACTGAGAGTTTTTGCGTATGTCGGCAAATCGTGCAAGCACAGGTGCAAATTTTCGAAAAAGTAACAGCTCGTAGGCTGATACTTTATCAAAACGTGAATAAGCGTAGGATTCAACAACCAATGCATTTACTTTTGCAGGTCGGGCTAGGATAAAACAGGGTGAACAATAGCCACGGGACTAGCGTACCTAGGAAAGTTTCTTTTCAGACATACTAAGACAGGGGGAAATAAAGAGTGTTAGCTGGGTTGCGTACCTAGGAAAGTTTTTATTCAGACTTAGTAAGACAGGTGGAAATAAAGAGTGTTAGCTGGGTTGGTATTACTGAAGCAATCAGAACGGTGGGTATAACCATAGTAGTAAAGACACTGGTCACAGGAAGAGCATCATTGGTAAATGTAACAGTGAAACTACACTGGGTGGTGGCATAGAAGATGGGCCGTTGTCATGCATTATGAGCACCCACGGCGCGCACCTTGCATGACATTTACTTTGGACGTCATACGCGCGTAGCTTTTTGGTTTAAGCATGACCGCGTAGGCGGAGTAGGGTAGGATGCCCGGGCCCTGGTTCCTCCCTAGAGAGGACCAGGGCGCATGGAACGCCCTGCCCGCTGCGCGCGGAGACTATGTCGAACTAAAGCTCCTCGATTCCTCACGCCACCCTCAGGGGATGGGTTTGGTGAGGATCGAGGAGCGTGAGAACCCCACACGATATGGGGAATGGCTTACAGGTACCATCGTTGCGGTGTCCGATGGTTACCTGCAATGGTGGCTGGATGAAGGAGAGGGCTCTACGGAGCAAAGGTGGTTCTCCTTCCACGTCTGTGCCAAATCCCCTGCCAGTTGCAGGGGATCAAAAGGGCACCCCGACATGGAGTTCCACTTTGAGTCCCTTCGGAGCATCCCCCTCGCGGAGCTCGGGACCTCTCAACAGCCACCTTGGCTCACCCAACCCGCTGCGGCGGCAGATCTAAAGTGGGAGCTAGATCGCTTGGGTGGCCAGGCACCAGCACCAGCTGCGGCTGAGGCAAAGGGGGGAAGAAAAGAGCGAGAGAAGGGTCTCGCAGCCCCTTCTTGGGGTGCCCCCCCTGGCGCGGAAGCGAAGCCTCCGGGGCTCGCCGCAGAACTCGACGACCTGGCCAGAGATTTGAGGGATCCTGGACAGGGTCGGCGGGATAAGCGGAAGAATCGCCGAGATCGCTCCCCGGACCGGCGCGCCAAAGAACCCCGTGCGCGGGAGAGGGACACCGGGCCAGCCGCGGAGGCAGAAGCCGCTCTTGAGAAGAAGCGGCGCCGCTGGCTGGACCCGACTGGCCACCAGAGCGTCTCCTCCGAGTCGGAGACCAAGAGGGGCCGGAGTCCCAGAAGGCGACGGTCTGAGGACCAGAGCTCGCCCAAGGAAAAGAAAAAGAAGAAGAAAAAGAAAAGGAGCCGGTCCAGAGAGGCTGGCCGAAAGGCGGACCGAGGGCCTTTTGGAGGAGGAGCCAAAGCCGACAGCCGCCCCGGGTACTTCTCCGAGTACTCCAGGAGCTGCAGCTGACAGTCGCGAGACGAGGAGGCTTCGCGAAAAGACGAGTCTGAAGAAGACCCATCTTCGCCCACGTCTTCTGCAGAAGATGCGAACGCTGCTCGCACGGGACGGGGGGGCGCTGAACTTCGCAGCCCGGGGAGACCCAGCGCCACCGGTGGCGACGAGTTACCTCCTCACGATCATGGTGCCGGAGTACAGCTCAAAGGTGGGAGTTCGCCTTCTTCGGGAACTCAAGACCTTGTGCAAGGCACTGGACCTGGTGGTCGAAGGGGAAGCGCGGCGCGCCGCAGACCTTCTCGCGCAAAGAGTGAAGGCGATCGAAGCGTCACTGGCCGACGATCACTGGCTGAAGGCGCAGTTCCTGGAGCTAGTGCCTCGGGAAGGAAGTCTCCTGATGGAGACAGACGAGGCAGTGATGGCGGCGAGGCAGCTGGCCTTGGAGACCAAGGTGAAGGAAGCAGGCCAGCGGAACTGGGGCCGGGGCAAGGGGCAGTGGTTCGCCCGCCCGGACGAAAGCGAGCCGCCACCGCTCCGGACCACGCCCCCCGAGGGGGAGAAAGGCAAAAAGGGCGAGGGCAAAAAAGGGGCGAAAGGAAAGAAGGGGCAAAAGTAGAGCCCGCTGCGGCGGAGGCGGAAAAAGCCCCAAAGAAGCCCCCGAAGGCCAAGACCGAGAAGAAGGTCAAGAAGGAGGCCAAAGGCGGCAGACCGCCGGATGATGATCCCCCCGGCGATCCTGATGGGGATGGAGATCCTCCTGGAGAATGGGACGAAGATGAAGGAGGGGAGGAAGAGGCCCCGGCGGAGGACCCCACCGTGGAGGCACGGGGTGCGCCCCAGGGCTCAACACCGGCTGCGGCCGAGACTTTGAGTCCAGGACAAGAAGAGGAATGGGATGATGAGTTGTTGGAGGCCCTTGGGGTCAGTGAAGATGAGGACACCCTGCGCGACTCCTTGGAGCATGCTGCCAAGCATGCGGCGCCGGGGTGGTGGAACCTCAACCACTTGCAGACGGCGGTCCGCCGACTTTTGGGCACCAAGCCCACCTGGGAACAGTTCCTCGAATGGTTCCTGAATGAGGGCAGGCGGTTCCCGACTCCTCTTGGTTCGTTCTTCCGCAGGATGGAGGAGACCGAGGCAGCCCCCCCGGGCGCGGAGCCCACTAGGGAACACGACCTGCTCCCGATCCATGTGGATGCCACTTGCAACACAGAGGTGGTGGAGACCTGTTCCCAGGTGCTGCTGGAGACCACCCTGCACGCCCTCAACTTCCACTACTGCTGTGGTTGGATCAGCCCTGTGTGCTGGCCACCGCCAGAGGAGGTCACCCCGCGACAAGCAGAGGCGGTGAAAGGGATCGCGAAGAGCTGCGCTGGTTGCTTGGGGCGCGGCTTGCCATTGGGAGGACCGGCCGAGGCCGAGAAGATCCTCTCAAGTCGCTCCCCCGACTATGAAGGCAACATGGTGGAGCGAGTGGGGGAGATCCAAGCAGATCTCGTGATCGGAGCCTGGCCCAACGTTGGTGAGGCGGCGGTCGCTAGCGTCACGGACTTCTTGACCGGTGACGCCCTCAATGCGGTG